GCACGTCCAATACCGTACGTCTCATCGCTTGCCTTCTGGGATAAGCATCAAATTTAAATATACATTCACGCTTTTTCTCAAATCATTAAAATTAAACACCATGCAGTTTCCTTTTGCTCAAACAAGCAAATATTTGCCAGGCCATGTCGCCTATAGCAAGCCAAGTAAGAAAAATCACGCTTACACGTGGATTCTGTCACACTTCCCAACATGCGCTTGTCCCTGGAAGCGTTCACTTAGCGGCAATAGCGACGTCACGCGTAGTGATGTCATCGAGAGCTGAGGCGAGTGAATGGCAGTGGCTCTCCATCGTATTGGATTAAAGAGGGCTTCTACGTTATCACCGGGGTTCATCACCGGCTTTTAGGGAACCCCTTGGTAATATTGCCTAGTTTTCTCACGGGCAAGTCCCTAATTGCATCCCAACGTTACAGCAAATTGTTAATTACATTGGCTCTTGTTGATGAAAGTTATCATGACCCCACGTTACAGCCAAATTGGCAGAGCTAATATATCAACGCTTTCAACCTTAGTACGAAAGTGTTAAATTCATCCAAAGCTTAACTGTCATTTTTCCGCACAAGCATCTATACGGATGTTGTTCCCCTGCTCTGTGCAATAACTGCCATTATGATGATGATCATCATCATCATCATTCTCGGCTAGATTCCTTCACCTCCCTACAGTCCCTCCACTGGCTTCCCATCATCACCAACATGGTCAGCTACAGGATCTCCTGCTGCATGTGCCATCGCTGCGTCGCTACGGCTTACGATAGGACTCTGTGCCATCATCGTCCCCGCTGCACATTTGCAGGAGCAGCAGCAGCAGCAGCGCTCAATCTGCACAGACTTGTAAAAGATGCTTCAAGAGGCCCCACTTTCTTCAAGGCCCAGCTGCTTCAAGAGTCACGGCCATTGATGTCCGTGAAATATTGTGCGCGTTACTAATTGCATGACCATTATTATTGTCATCATCATCATCATCAGTGTCGACGCCGTGAGTCATGTTCAATCCACTCATGGTAGAAGCCCTCTTCTCGGAAAAGTCATTTCCTAAAGTCCGTGTAGCCGTAATCCATCAGTCCGCATTACTCTCATCGCTCTGCATCATCGGGAGTGATCTCCCCGTTGTTTGGTTTACTCGGCTAATGTTTAGAAATAAGTTTTCTTTGTGTTTATCCCTCCCAGCAATGTTTTGCGCAGAAGTGTCCGTATTCCTTACTGCATTTGCGCACACGGGTGGCACGATGCGAACTGTGGTTGTGTTCTACTAGGGTGGGACGATGCGGACGTGTCAACAACAGTGGTTGTGTTCAACTCGGGTGGGACGATGCGGACGTGTCAACAACAGTGGTTGTGTTCAACTCGGGTGGGACGATGTGAGTGTCAACAACTGTGGTTGTGTTCAACTCGGGTGGCACGATGTGAGTGTCAACAACAGTGGTTGTGTTCAACTCGGGTGGCACGATGTGAGTGTCAACTGTGGTTGTGTTGAACTCGGGTGGCACGATGTGAGTGTCAACTGTGGTTGTGTTCAACTCGGGTGGCACGATGTGAGTGTCAACTGTGGTTGTGTTCAACTCGGGTGGCACGATGTGAGTGTCAACAACTGTGGTTGTGTTCAACTCGGGTGGCACGATGTGAGTGTCAACTGTGGTTGTGTTCAACTCGGGTGGCACGATGTAAGTGTCAACTGTGGTTGTGTTCAACTCCGGAGGGCACGATGTGAGTGTCAACTGTGGTTGTGTTCAACTTGGTAGCATGGGAGCGCTGCTGCATCATACAGAGTGACTGACCTCTTCCACGTGACTCCACGTGGCAGAGGTCTGTCCTCTTGTGAAACTTAGCACTCACATTAACTAGGCACAAGTCGTGTTTTCATGGGTGACAAATCGGGCTGGTATTACATTACAAAAACATGGCAAAAAACGTTCCGCCAAGTGGCATGCGATGGAATTGAGCGGCGAGTATTTCATTTTGAATTATCACTGTAACACTGTCACCACCAATGCACTGTAGTCGCTCGGTCTCTTAGAGGGAAGGAAAGTCTCGAAGGCGTGAGGAGGAGCCACAGACGAGCGGGGAAGGGAGCAGCAGCAGCCATGCGGTGAGCCGGCACAAAATGCACCCCCTCCAAGATCCGTGGTCCTCTATCTATGAAGGTGTTATTGGAAAATTCACGTGGGCTTACATGTGGGAGGACACTGAAGCACTGGGAGAAAACTCGTATGCAAGGGACACAATTCTATCCCATACAGATGGAACCAATGGAGTCGATTTTATACACCGCCTTCTCCCTTGCAAGACTCCTCCTCGACATCCACGGGAAGGGAATCTCAGAACGTCTGTGCAGGGATCCTCCAACCGTCGCTGCTGCTGCTGCCTCCACAATGCTGGATCACTACAGGCAGCCTCGTGCAGCAGCGTGGACACCACCGCCGCCGTTGCCCGGCTAGACGATTCTATCCACATCAGCGCCGTTTCTGCAGCACGCTTTCTTTACCGCGAGCAGAGAGGACGAATGCCAAAACCGTTGGCTGATAACGACCACCTCAGTTGCGACAACATTGCTTGCTTTCCCTTCAATGCAGAGTGACTCTCGCTTGCAAATTTAGTGAGGAAAACGCCCGTCGCCAAAGTGTTTCGTATTTCCGTCTTTCGTACCGACGTAGCACCGCGCCGTACAGAGCCAGCCGCGCTAATCGCGGGTGTGGAGGGAGAACAAAAAACTCAACACAACACAAAGCAGTTCTAGAGAAAGGAGTTTTCAATCTGGGTGATGATTTAAAAGTGCACAGCTCCAGTGGCTTCCTAATATCGGAAAGGGAGAACGTTCCAGACGGCCGCAGCAGCGCATCTGAAAGCGCGCGATGCGGTGACCGTCTTTGCTCAGCTAAAATCCACTGCTGTTGCTGCTGCTGCTGCGAGGGCGACTAGAGCTGGCGTGATGATGGTTCTTGTTCCTCGACGAGGTCTGCGAGGAGTGAACGATGAAGCCGAGCGGATGTCACTCGGAGCACTGCGGCGGTGACTGCGCCCGCTTGGCAAAGCGCGGACGATTGCAGCGAGAACCGAACGAAGGAGGTTGAATGATTGGCACAGGCCGAGAAAATCTGAGCGTTATTAAGAGACTGCAGTGCAACTGAGGAAGACCGAGCGTGATGATTTGATGTGTGTATGCGTGTGTGCGTGTGTGTGTGCATATACACAGGATTACCGAGTTCACGGATTGGCTGGCCCGATAACATTGTGAGGGAATAAGTTGTGCACCCCTCACGCCTACGTGAATTAACAACTAAGCTTGTTTGACTAAATGTGGGGATTCTTTCGTCGACTAGATCGAGAGAATGATTCCATAAAATCTACAGACTGAGGCTTTACTAAAATACCACAGGTTGTAATTGACTAAGACTAATATATAGAGATGTATTGTGACACCCAATTAATTGACCCATAAACAAATGTCCCTATTAATTTCTGTTTTCACACCCTCATTAGTATCCAAACATTGTAAAATTTTCGAGAAATGGGGGTCACAAGACATCTGGACCACCTTATCATCATCAAGTGAAATAATTATTTTTAAAAAATTACGTCACCGGTTAATGTAATGCACATCCAGTATGTGTACACACAGTAACAAAGACAAATATCCCCCATATAACCTTATTAGAATGTTGGGGCAAGTGCTGTTAGCAAGTGGCACCTATGAAGGCTGGCACAGCACACGACGGGGTGGGTGGCCAGCACCACGCATCGCACCGGGTACTCGTTTGAGGCTGAGTCGACCTAGGGGAGGCCCAGGACCGGTTCGAATAATTGTCGCCGGTGTCGGCCGTGAGCGGGAACTGAATTACCTGGGTCTACCAGTCCGCAGCGCAATGCGCTAACCGCTGCGCCACCGCTCCCCACCCCCCACATTACCACACACACACACAAAGCCACACACAACAACATCCGCCATTCGCCACTAAGTGGCGGTGACGTCACCACGACGCTTGTGCCAGGCTATGTGCACCTTGAGGCCACACACAAATATCCCCCGTGTAGCCTTAACAGACTGTTGGGGAAAGTGCTGTTAGCGAGTGGCACCTATGAAGGCCGGCACGGCACACGAGGGGGTGGGTGGCCAACACCACGCCCGGCCGCCTTTGTCTCCCTAGTGGCGATGTTTACACCATCGCACCAGGTACTCGTTTCAGGCTGAGTCGACCTAGGGGAGGCCCAGGACCGGTTCAGATAATCGTCACTGGTGTTGGCCGTGAGCGGGAATCGAACCCGGGTCGCCAGGTTCGTAGCGCAGCGTAGCGCTAACCGCTATACACACAGCCACACACACAGCCGCACACACACACAAAGACAAAGACAAAGATCCCCCATATAGCCTTAACAGACTGTAGGGGCAAGTGCTGTTAGCGAGCACCTATGAAGGCCGGAACGGTACACGAGGGGGTGGGTGGCCAGCACCACGCCCGACCGCCTTTGTCTCCCTAGTGGCAATGTTTACACACCGCACCAGGTACTCATTTGAGGCTGAGTCGACCTAGGGGAGGCCCGGGACCGGTTCAGACAATCGTCACACACACACACAGCCGCACACACACAGCCGCACACACACAGCCGCGCACACACACAGCCACACACACACACAGCTGCACACACACACAGCCACACACAGCCACACACACACAGCCGCACACACACACACAGCCACACACACACACACAGCTGCACACACACACACAGCCACACACACACACACAGCCGCACACACACACAGCTGCACACACACACACAGCCACACACAGCCACACACACACAGCCGCACACACACACACACAGCCACACACACACACACAGCTGCACACACACACACAGCCACACACACACACACAGCCGCACACACACAGCCACGCACACACACAGCCACACACACAGCCGCACACACACACAGCCACGCACACACACACAGCCACGCACCGAGTCACGCTCGCTCACCCGGTCTTGGCGAAGTTGGTCCAGTAGGTCATGACGACGGCGCTCAGCATGACGTCGTTCTTTGAGAAGTTGCACGGGAAGAGCAAGGTGGGGCCCACCATGGGCACGCCGAACACGTACGGGGTCTCGTCGCCGTGCGCCGCGTCGGCCCACGCGGGCTTCATCTCGCTCTGGCAGTGGTGGTAGAAGGCGTAGACGTAGGTGGGCGAGCCGTACTGCGCGTGCAGGTCGGCCGTGGCCATGGCGGGCGCCACCCACTGGTGGTCTGTGAAGAGGGCCACCAGCGTCTTGCGGCGCGTCTCCGCGTTGTTGCGGTCCGCCCAGTCTGTGTACATGAACTTGATGGTGGCCCGCAGCTCGTCCTTGCCCTCGGGGTAGCCGTACAGGTTGTCCACGAAGTTGGAGACGATGTTGTCGAAGTTTGCCGCCGAGACGCCGTCGTCGATGTCCACCATGCTCTCGACGAACTTGAGGCCCTCACCCTGGTTGATGCCAAGCATCACGTCGTAGTTGAGGAACTCGCCCTGCTCCATGAGGATCTGCGGGTCGTCGGGGATGACGTCGCCGTCGATGACGGGCCCGAAGGCCACGTGGTAGCGCATCGGCTTGATGTCCTGGTTCACGAGCTCACGGAACGAGCGCGAGCGTAGGCACTCCACCACGTCCTGCGTGTCCAGCATGTTGCAGTTGACGTTTTCGGCCAGCAAGCGGGTGTACTTGACGGGCTGGTAGTTGATGGCCCAACTCGACAGCGCCGTGCCACTCTGCGTTATGGCTCGCTGGAAAAGCCCTGCAAAGCGGAGAAGGTGGTGCGCGGAGGGTTAGATCTCGACCTGGCTCGGTCCGGCTCTCGCTGTGCTTGGCATGCGCTGTCGGCGATGGCTCTAAAGCAGCCACCGGATCGATGTAATGGTGTGTTTGGACAGGCTGGAGAGACGCGCGCCGTTCAAGTTATGTTATTACGATGCGTGCCACCGTCGTCAAACAGTCAAGGGGAGAGTCGTACGAACAAATTTAACGCACAAATAGATACTCAAATGTTTTTTGGCGTGCGCCCAAAAACGTCTTCTCTTCAAATATATATATATTTTTTTAGCATTCTGGCAAAACAAAGAAACACTGCTTTTTGCAGGTCAAAAAAATATAAATCGCGACATCAGAAAAATGTGTGTGGACACGTTTAAGCTCTCGCGTTGACTCGTTCAGCCGCGGCGTTCCGCGAGCACAAAGATGCAGTGACAAGGATGGGCCCAGATGCAGAACTACGAACCACACTACGGAACCACACTACGGAACCACACTACGGAACCACACTACAGAACCACACTACGGAACCACACTACGGAACTGGGGAACGGCACAAATCCCGATTCATCGCGGAGATGTATTTCACGTCACAGGCAGCATGCGGGGCCGCCAGGATCTTGGGGCGCAATGCGCGACGAGGGCTCACGACGAGCCCGTGTCACGACGAGCCCGTGTCACGACGAGCCCTCGTCGCGTCGAGGGCTCACGACGAGCCCGTGTCACGACGAGCCCGTGTCACGACGAGGGCTCACGACGAGCCCGTGTCACGACGAGCCCGTGTCACGACGAGCCCGTGTCACGACGAGCCCTCGCCGCGTCGCGCTCACGTTGCAACGAGCCGACGTCGGCCGTGACCTCGGTCCCAGAACGAACCGGCCACACCCAAGCAACCGCTTGTCGAGGTTGTTCCATCCGTAATCAATATTATATTTACATGTTAAAACTTATGCTGGTCGTAATAATGATAATAATACAATTACATTTTCCAACACAGTTCACTGCCATAGTACCTCAATTAATCGTGCACTTTGGAGCAAACCGAATGCTGCATTTTAAATTCCATTGTAATTGATTTAATACAGGAAAGTGTCGACTCTATCATTGGTAGGGCCGTCTGTCGCGAGTCATTTGACGTTGTGGGGCCTATATAGCCGGTGCTCGTCAACAGTTTCTGTTGTTTGAAAGAAAAAAAACGTTCAAGTCAAAGTGTCTCCCCGCTCAGCTGGTCCAGAGCAGAGACTTGGCACGCGAGGTGACCGAGACTTCAAGTCGAAGTGATTCCCTTCTCAAGTGAGCGTTGAACCATTGGTGGCTCATCTCCTGTTTGCAGCCTTGCAGGGCAACTGGTGGAAATTCCATGTTCTTATTTTGGGTACGTCTAGCCGAAGGACGACGCAATGGTTGACTTCGCATATTTTGTTGTGATGATGGATTCTGGTGGACCCCCCGCCACGTACTTTAAAGTCATGTTCTTCCTCATCATCTCTGATTGAAAGGTCAGTGAAGCGGGCGAGAGTGTGTATTGGCCCACATGTGTGTTCTGGACCAATTCTTTTGTACTGTTTTTGTTTTAAGTAGCAAACTCCGGTTTCGACTTTTTGGGTCCTATCAGCAGTGTGACTTAGCGGGTGCCACTGCTGCCGACGTATGGGTGCTATGATGATGAAGGCAAGATCCCTCCGTAAAACACCTCGGGGCCCAATCAATGCTCTGCAGCAAAGAATTGCACAAAAATGCATTCGGCGATTGGCGGAATGTTAAATACTGTCAGTAATTGATGCGTTTACGTTTGTTTGGCAAAACAATAAATATACACGTGTGTGCGCCTCCGTTAATCCAGGTAAGTGCCCATTAAGATATATGGCCTCTGTTTTAGATTAATTCTAATAGATGTTATATTTATGGTTAATTCTAGATTTGAAGTTATTGTGACTGCAATAATCTATACTCTTTGGTTCTTTCGGTAAAGTCACGTGGGTAAAAATAAAAATAAAATAAAGTTAATCAAATCACGACGTTTCGGAGGCAACACAAGCTTCCCTCATCAGGTGTAACTAGCACAGAAAAAATACTGTTATTTTTACTGTTATTTTGACCTACGTGACTTTACCGAAAGAACCAAAGAGTATATTTATGTTTTGAATTAAAGCTTTCGTGACTGCAGAGATTCATATTATTGGTTCTTTCGGTAAAGTCACGTGGAAGGGAAACAATAAAATGATAAAAATATAAAACAATAAAATTCTCACGACGTTTCGACTGCAACACAAGCAACACAATCAAACGTCGTGATCATTTTATTGTTTTATATTTTTATTATTTTATTGTTTCCCTTCTACGTGACTTTACCGAAAGAACCAAAGAGCATATTTATATATATAGCATATTTATGGTTGTGAAATCATCACAGGATGACCTACGATATGAATTATGTAATTCAGGCAAAAAAATAATGTCATGGGGTGGTATGACGTCAAATCACCCAGGGCAGCTGCCAAAACTAAATAATGGTCACCAACAAACAATCCGCTGAGCGGGATGGAAATAACACTCGCAGTGCGGATGTACAGTAAGGGAAAAAAGTATTTGATCCCCTGCTGATTATTTACGTTTGCCCACTGACAAAGAAATGTTCAGTCTATAATTTTAATGGTAGGTTTATTTGAAGAGTGAGAGACAGAAAAACAACAAAAAAAATCCAGAAAAACGCATGTCAAAAATGGTATAAATTGATTTGCATTTTAATAAGGGAAATACGTATTTGACCCCCTCTCAATCAGAAAGATTTCTGGCTCCCAGGTATCTTTTATACAGGTAACGAGCTGAGATTACGAGCACACTCTTAAAGGGAGTGCTCCTAATCTCAGCTTGTTACCTGTATAAAAGGAACCTGTCCACAGAAGCAATCAATTAGATTCCAAACTCTCCACCATGGCCAAGACCAAAGAGCTCTCCAAGGATGTCAGGGACAAGATTGTAGACCTACACAAGGCTGGAATGGGCTACAAGACCATTGCCAAGCAGCTTGGTGAGAAGGTGACAACAGTTGGTGCGATTATTCGCAAATGGACAAAACACAAAATAACTGTCAATCTCCCTCGGCCTGGGGCTCCATGCAAGATCTCACCTCGTGGAGCTGCATTGATCATGAGAACGGTGAGGAAGCAGTCCAGAACGACACGGGAGGATCTTGTCAATGATCTCAAGGCAGCTGGGACCATAGTCACCAAGAAAACAATTGGTAACACACTACGCCGTGAAGGACTGAAATCCTGCAGCGCCCGCAAGGTCCCCCTGCTCAAGAAAGCACATATACATGCCCGTCTGAAGTTTGCCAATGAACATCTGAATGATTCAGAGGACAACTGGGTGAAAGTGTTGTGGTCAGATGAGACCAAAATGGAGCTCTTTGGCATCAACTCAACTCGCCGTGTTTGGAGGAGGAGGAGGAGGAATGCTGCCTATGACCCCAAGAACACCATCCCCACCGTCAAACATGGAGGTGGAAACATTATGCTTTGGGGGTGTTTTTCTGCTAAGGGGACAGGACAACTTCACCGCATCAAAGGGACGATGGACGGGGCCATGGTACCATCAAATCTTGGGTGAGAACCTCCTTCCCTCAACCAGGGCATTGAAAATGGGTCGTGGATGGGTATTCCAGCATGACAATGACCCAAAACACACGGCCAAGACAACAAAGGAGTGGCTCAAGAAGAAGCACATTAAGGTCCTGGAGTGGCCTAGCCAGTCTCCAGACCTTAATCCCATAGAAAATCTGTGGAGGGAGCTGAAGGTTCGAGTTGCCAAACATCAGCCTCGAAACCTTAATGACTTGGAGAAGATCTGCGAAGATGAGTGGGACAAAATCCCTCCTGAGATGTGTGCAAACCTGGTGGCCAACTACAAGAAACGTCTGACCTCTGTGATTGCCAACAAGGGTTTTGCCACCAAGTACTAAGTCATGTTTTGCAGAGGGGTCAAATACTTATTTCCCTCATTAAAATGCAAATAAATTTATAACATTTTTGACATGCGTTTTTCTGGATTTTGTTATTCTGTCTATCACTGATCAAAAAAACCTACCATTAAAATTATAGACTGATCATTTCTTTGTCAGTGGGCAAACGTACAAAATCAGCAGGGGATCAAATACTTTTTTTCCCTCACTGTATATCTCGCGTCTAAATGCGATCGCATCTGGGGATGCTCTCCGGAGGTACGGCGAGCGAGGGGTCGTCTGGCATCTACCTTACCAAGCCCGACTCGAGCCAGGAGAAGCGAATGTCGCTTCTGCGTCGCATCTCCGGGTGCCACGATGGCTAGGAGATATTAACAACTTCGCTTGGTATACAGGAGGTCGTGGGTTCGATCTCGACCCTGACGCCCGTTGTATATTTAGAGTTTGCATTTCTCTGGCGTCCTCCGGTTTTTCCCTCCACATTTAGAAACATGCGTTTAGAGTTGTTGGCTGCTATAAATTCCCACGTGATCATCCACTTCGTTGAGCTCTCATTTGTGGCGAGGTCGCTTCTGAAAAGAACTCTATAGCTCAGTGGGCCTTACTTAGTAAAATAAAAAATATATAAAGTCTGGATATCACTCCCTCCTCCTCTCTCGCTTCGCCATGAGTCAGCTTCAGTGCCGACCTTCTCTCGGAATCTCAAGAATGTCCTCACTTTGATTCATTCTCCCGTGCCGCTGAATGTCCAATTTAAGTTAGATTTGTGCGCGTTCCAAATGTTAATCGGGGATGAATGAACAGACAAGAGGTAAAAGAACCGTGAGAGATGGCGATGGCCTGGGGAAGGTCTTCATCCAACATTCGATTGATCATCGCCAATTATGACAATTGTTCGTGTTGGACTTTGGTGGCCGCTGCACCACCTTGTATTGCACGCGGACACCCGCATGTCTTTCCAACAATGTCCCCAATTCCATTCACTCCCCTGCGTAGTTTTCCCTCTCCAATCTTGCACATTG